CCCGTGCAGTTCAATACTAAAACATATTAATTTGAGAGAATGTTTTCAATTGAATTGAAATTTATAATTATAATATCAATAATAATGTTTTCAATTGGATTGAAATTTTCTGATTTTATCTGATGTGAATGTGTGATCTAATCTAAACTGATCTGATTTGATCTGATTAAGTCTAGATTGCTCTAACTGAAATCAATCCAATTAAAAATATCTTAAACAATGTTAATCATAGTTATATTACCATTCAAAATTACCATTTAAACAATAAAAAAATGGATGAAAAATTATACATACCATTCAAATATTACCCAGATGAAAAAGTAACAAAATCAATCTAACTGTACAAGATACATGCCGGAGTTCCGTTTGCAAAAATCAATGGCTAAGAAACAAGAGGACAAATTTGTCCAATTGCGGAAGAAAAGGGGCGCGCCCAGCCATTTTAAAGGTGTGCGGAGGAGGTCCGTTCTCAAAACTATGACCCATTTGGACTTTTCCAAAAATATGACTCATATATAAATGAAAAAACCTAGCTTCTCAAACATTTTTGAACGGGTGAGCTTCTCAAACATAAGAGCCTTTCTTCCTTACTTGTGCTTCGTCTCTCTCCCTCTGCCCCCAACCCACCAAACCCCACCGCCAACGTCAAGCCGCTCCACCGCACACCAGCCACTGACGCCCCGCCACTCCCTCGCCGCCCCGCCGTCCCACTGCACCTCTTCTTCTTCTCATTCTTCTTCACCGCTGCTTCTCCTACCCGCTACTGCCATCACTGCAATTGAAGATCAGGCATCGTCATCGATGGTCGCGCCGCCCTATTCCGTGAGCGACGGCCGGATGAGAGGGTATAGTTACGGGCGGTGGTGCGGTTGAACATATCTGTGATTTTGGCGGTGATTAAAACTAGAATGAGGGGCGGCGACGAGCTGGCGGCTATGGTTGCCGGCGGTGGTGCAATTGGGGGACTTGGGTCAGAAGGTGGGGGAAATCATCGGCCTTGTCCCCGGCGACGGTGTTCCGATTTGGGTGGAAGTCACTGAGTTAGTGACAGGAGTTAGGTGTAAGTCACTGGAGTAGAGACCGGAGTTGGGTAGCAGTCACTAGCTAGTGACCGGAGTTAGGTAGAAACCAGTGGTCAGACACGGTAGTCGGTGGGCAGTCACTATGACCGGTAGGCGGGAGTCACTGTCACCGGTGGAGTCACTGTGGTCGGAGTCACTTTGACCAGAGTCACTGAGATAGTGACCGCCCGGGTCCGGGTCACAACGGTCATAATTTAAAAAAATAAATAAAGAAAGCATTAACACAAACATTAAATCTTCCTTAGTTCCATGACTCGACCTAGTCACTAACGCTCCTCTACAGTGACGGCCATCGATCAAAGGCAGTGACCACCAAGCCATGGTTTAAAGAAAGCATTAACACAAACATTAAATCTTCAAAGCATAGAAAAATAGAAAATCAAACTTAGTGGAGAGTTGTTATAGATAACCAATTCCACTTATCAAAAAGAGAAACTCTCTACGTCTCAAATTGATTTTACAAAATCAGATAAACATATCCATTTTATTCACTTACTTATGATTAAAAAAAATAATTATATTACAATTTGGATTTTGCATCTTTATAGAAATTTTAACGTAGTTTCTGAACATGTAAATTTTAATTATTAAACATTGAATTAGTTATCAATAGAGTATTTAACTTTAACATCGATGGATAAAATAAATGTTAACTGCGAATAAATTTGGTATGAACATAGTAATTAAGAAAGAAGATAAGAGTTACACGAGCTATTATTTTCATTACAAAACCTTGAAAAGTAAATTGCTTTTCTCATTTTTCGGCGGCAACGGAGGAAGAATGAGATCCTTAGTGCCGCTTTGAGAAGGCGGATGACTTGCTAAGTTTTTTCTTCTTAAAAAAGCCGCCAGTTGAATGGAGCGGTGACTTTTGGAACAAAACACGTTTATGCCAATCAACAATGGTAGGAGCGTTTCATCCAAAAAAAAAAAAAAAATGGTAGGAGCGAGTTGGGTAGCGACTTCAAATAAAGCAAACAAGATTATTTACGATAGCATATAGTATCCTCTCTATCGCATTAGTTGCAACATTGTAATATTTACACTATTCATGTACTTTACTTTGATAGTTTGATCACATTTTATTTATTAATGTATGTGAATTATTATTTTTGAAAAATATTGTTAAATTCTTCTCATTACTAAGTTTTATAATTTGATTAATTCTGTTCAATATATATTTTTGTGTTTTTTATTTTTATTATAAATTATTATTTAATGTTATTTATTTTATGTTTTAATTATTAATGAATGTGGTTGGGGCTTGGATATGGATATATTTGTCCAAACACTAAAAATACTCCTATTCAAAACATGGTACTCCTATTTTTTGCATTTTACCTATGGTTTACTCCTATTTGAGGAATTCACCCTACTTTAACATAATTAGTTGTATTTATCCTTTAGAATGTTATACTCCCTCCGGTTCTCAAACAACTTCCCACTTTCCTTTTCGGGAAGTCCCGAAATTAACTTCATACTTTTTCTTATTTCCTTATTTGGTAAATTATCTACACCAAAACAGTGCAAAACAGTATCAAACAGTGTCCAAACAGTGCCAAACAGTGCACTCCACAGTAAAGTCATATTTATTTTCTTAATCTGTGTGAAGTCAAAGTGTGAACATCTTTGAGAACCGAAGGGAGTACTTGTGCTACACGCTTGTGGAGTGTGGTCTACCTTAGTGGTGGACTCGGGCCGGGCCAACCGGCCCGAAACCGGACCGGCCCGCTACTGTGCGAGCCCGGACCGGCCCGGTTTGTTGGTTAGGTCCCGGCCACCCGGCCCGGTCATGTAGCGGTTCGGGCCCGGGCTTATAATTTGGTGAACCGGCCCGGCCGGGCCTCAACGGTCACAAAAAAAAAAAAAAAAAAAAAAAAAAATTGAAGGCTCTACTAGCCGTTGGAAAAAGTAACAAAATTGCTCCTAATATTACCATTCCTAGTCTACCTCTCTTGTAATCTTGTCATCCATCTCTTATAACTAAGTCACCTAATTGTCCTTTAATTCGCATGTAAATATCTGGCATTGCCATCCTAATATACTTTCATAAGTAACTATTTGAAATATTTCAGTATTTCACCATTTCAAAAAGAGCTCAACGAATTCAGTAATTTTTGTTGTTCTATAAATCGTATGCTTTTGAATAGGCTGCCAATGAAAACGTGTTTTTGTAAGTCAGCTATAACGTAGCGTTTTATATTCATCTATTTTATACACCGTGACTTTTGATTCTGACCCAAATTTCTATTTTCATGAGCACTACCTGTAGTTTTTTTTGTTATTACTCCCTCCGGTCCTAAATAAAGTTCACACTTTCCTTTTTGAGTCGATCCAAATTAAAGTTCACACTTCGTCTCGCTTCTTTGTTTGACAAATTATCTACATCAAAACAGTGTCGTACTTTACAGTAAAGTCAAATTTATTTTCTTAATTTATGTGAAGTCAAAGTGTGACTCTTATTGAGGACCAGTGGGAGTATAAGACAAGCACTACCTATAGTATTATTCTCTAATTTGTGTATTCTTTTTTTTTTAACTTGAAACCAGCCAACCGGGGCTATAAAAAAGACTAGACAGCAAATAAGAGCCTGGGCGGGGAATCATGAAATGGAATAGGTTAAAAGTTAAAACCATAGTCGGAGAAAGAAAGTCAAGGTCCTGAAGGTTTATTGAGAAAGAAAGTAGAGGTCATAAAAACTACGTCCCAGTTTGACTTGACACGCTTGTTAAGAAAGTGAGAATAAAATCAATTGAGTAAGAAAAAAGTAAATGAGTGTTAAGCATACCAAATTTTACAAAAAAAAATGGGATGAATTTTCAATTTGTCCAAAAGGTTGAATCCCCCGCCCCAAATCTAGGCATGGACCTAGGCTGGGCCTGATTGGGCTTTTTTGGGATTCTTGAGGCCCGAAAACGGCCCAAGTAACCACCGGGTCCGGGACGGGTCAGACAAGGTCCAGCCCAAACCGGGTCGGGCCGGGTCGGGAAATAGTTATTACTCCGTATTAGATCATTCCATTTATAGTTCATGACTCAATTTTGGATGTTTTCTTTTGGATTGTTTTCAGTTCCAGACCAAACGAGAGTTAAACAGACTGGACCAGACCAGAATTGAACAGTTATAGAATACACAAAGACTGAATGTTTGCCAGATCAGACTTAAACAGACCAGACCAACAAATTGAAGTCCAAAAACATCTTTTGTACTTGTGAAATAGGACTAGATTTTTTTCACTTCATATTTTGACATTACTCTAAAATTCCCCAATATTTCCAAATGATTTTTACTGGATAAGCATCTCAGAAGGATCAAACTTATAAAACAACTACGTAGTAGAAAATAATGAACCAAAACTGAATGCCCGAAATAAAGGACAATGACTGATAGTCAAAGGTAGAATTGTAGAAACATTTTCTTCCAACTTTGCTCATATCAAACAATACAAATATAGTCATGCACAAATTGGGAGGAAAAAGTAATTTAAAAAAAAAACTATGTAAGTTTGTAACAGTATGCCTCACAATGATATGATCCAAGACACTTTGGATAGTTAGAAACAAAATTTCATTGAAGGTTGTTATAATGTCCATGATGCACATTGGCTAAATACTCACATGTTAATCTTAACTGATTGACTTACACAATGACTAGCCAACTTAGATCGACCTAAAATATATATGTTTAATTATTCCATATGGGAGAGTCATGAACTTCATTTTGATTGGAAGCATTTTATTATGTACTTGAATAATGCAACTGCATTTTTTCAAGCAACCAAATTTCTTTGGGAACTTTTGGAACTTACGTTCACGTACTACTTTAATTGTACTCTTACCATACTTCCTCCGCCATGAAAATGGTCACGTTTCAAGAGTTCTATTGTCATAAAAAAGAAACATGTATGATACATAAAGACGACTTTTTAAGATTACTGCCGAAATTGAATAACGAGCAAGAATAATGAATTTTAATGAATATACATTTAGTTAAGGTATCAAAGAAAATTTTAAAATTTAAGTATCATTATGACTTGTAAGAGTTGTGTCTTGCAAAGTTGCAAAAAAAAGATATGGAGTAATTGAATAGGCAACACAATCAGTGAAAAACTACATTCTGATTTTTTTAATGACGGAATGTTACTGCTAAACATTCATTACCGAGTAGGCGGTGAGGCTCCTTCACAATCTTTAGAGATACTTTCTAGCAAGAGCTCTGACCTTTGTATCGAAATGAGACGATGTAATTCGAGAGCCAGGTAAGTAGAGGGGATTAAGAAGAGACTGCAAATTAAAATTTAAAGCTTGGTCAATTTCTTGTTGTCTATCTAGAGGTTGACCCAGGTCCAATTCTGGAGCTAAGCATGTAAAAACAAATAGGAAACGTGTTTTTTTGTTCCATACCAGAACAGGTACCCAAAACCGGTCCAAACTGGTTCCGGTTATTTATTTTTTATTTTTAGAAATAGGCTAGAAACACGGATCAAGAACTGCACCGCAACATGAACCACTATACACAGTCAAGGATCTGGTTCCCCCATTACTTAACCCAGAACAGGCCTAGGTCAACCCCCTATATGTATCACAGTAATAAAAAAGTTCAGGAGCAAGAACCTTTCATGTAATAAAAGGTAAAAATTATATACTGGAAAAGACTAGTATTCTAGAAATGTGCCATTAATGTCCAATTGCAAATAGAGTTAAAATTTTCAAATGAAAGCCTATTAAGAAGTAGAAAGAACAAACCTTTATATAAAGCTCGTGAACTTCTTGGAAGAAGCTTTTGATTCCATCATCATTGCGAGAATCGTGAAGCAGCATCAGCCGGGTATGTTTGGCCAAATAGTCAAAGAAAACTATACATATTTTCCAAGAAAATCTAAGAAATAAATCAAGGTGCTAGCGATTTTAGTTTTGTTATTGAAGTTGACTTATCACCGATGAATTTGGTGTTTCACTTTTCTACATCATGACTTTGGTTTTGGTCCTTTTGGATTTAATAGTACTAGTATAATGGATTATGCAATTACATTGGTTGTTATGTTTGTAACATTTCATGTGCATAGATTTTAATTATTATATATTGAATATATCATGTTTGATAGATCTAAGTATATATAATCTGGTGTGTGCTTTTTTGTGCTCTACACCTCTGGCTATATAGGCCATGAACGTGCTTTAAGCACTAAAGACCGATGACACAAAGACCGATGACAGGATAACAGTTGGTTTTCATAAATTGAAGAAAAAAAAGTAGTCTAAGTAGTGATGCACACTCAACGTGCTAGAGCATTCTATCGCATGAGGAGCAAAACGCTTAAAAGCACTCACCTAAGGTTATGGCATTATCGAGCACAATACATTCAAAATAATTTGAAATAAATGCATAAAATATGCCAAAAGCATAGAGGTCTAGATACTTTTATAATCCATTTTTATGAACACTTCCAAAAATGACATAGAAACAAATTAAACTCTTCAGTTTCTACATCACATTCCTCATCTACAAGTCTACGAGAAGTCGAGAAGGTTTTGTACTAGGAGATGTGGATTGCCTCCTAGTAAAACTAATCGGTTCTGCTCATGTTGTCCTACTAACATCTAAGAAGGGTTTTGATACGAGCACTACCTTATTTAACATAAATCCCAATAGGGATTTTTCAAAAGTTTATAAAAGGAGGGGCAATAAGGTAAATAATCAGAGAAAGGAAGTGAAGGCAGAAAATAATGGACTAGAGGAAAGGGACGGGGAAAGGCACTGGGAAGTTGTTCGAAACTGGGAGAGCGAGATCCTCTCGAAAGATCTCATTTTTATTTTCTGTTATTTTGTTCTTTCATAGTTTTTGTTCCCAGACTCTGTTCTTGAGTTTTCTCAATAAAGACAATAATTTTAAGTTGGAGTGTGTTGTGACAGTGTGTTGGTGAGAGACCTTATCATTTGGTATCAGAGCAATTGACGATAACCTTATCTGCGCATGGTCTTGACCCGATCGAGAATGGAGCAACGTGTGGAAAATCTGGAAAACACTCTAGCGGAAGTGAAAACTGCCGTGAATGAACTGCTTGGCTTGCGCGAGACCGTGGCCGAATTGAAGAATATAATGTTACAGGGTGACCGCCATAGGAGAAGAGGACGGTCGCGGGTGTCTAAGCATCATAACCGGGACGAAAGCGTGAACTCGTCGCATACCCCAAGTAAGTCTCACAGCTCTCATGCTTCATCCCATATGGAGGACAAGGCTTTAAATTGGTTCCAATGGTGGGAGGAAGGGACTACAACCCGTACTTGGGAAAATTTCCAGGACGCTGTTATTCGACGGTTCCAACCAGAGATGGTTCAAAACCCATATGGACCGATGCTTAGTGTGAAGCAGACCGGGACAGTTATGGAGTATAGGGAGAAATTCGAACGGGTAGTAGCCCCCCACAGGAACACTGACAATGAGATGCTTAAGGGTATTTTCATGAATGGCCTGAAGGATGAAATCAAAGCCAAACTGAAATTGCATCCAACTCAATGTCTGACAGAGTTCATGGATCAGGCACTTCTCCTGGAAAACAAAAATGCAGCTTTCGGGGTAAGAAGTTTCAAGGAGGAAGATAAACGTGGATGGAAAGAACGTGGGGGAACCATTTCCAGGTATATACCCTGGAATGACGAAATCAAAAACAAAAGTCAAATCACACGAGACCTACCAAATCCGAAAGTTGACACTAAATTCAAAGGTGAAGAGGCAGTCAAAATAGCCAAGACAGGGCAAAGTGGTCAAAGGCTATCTCAGGCAGAACTGCAGGACAGGAGTAGACGGGGTCTCTGTTTTAAATGTGGGGATAAGTGGAACAAAGAACACAAATGTAGTATGAAGAATTATCAGTTGGTGCTTCTGGAAAAACCAGAAGGAATCGAGGAAGAGGACTCAGGAGTGAGTGAGGAAGACAATGTTCCTGTTGAGGAATTAAAATCTCTACAATTAACGATTCTGAGCAAAGAGGGCATTTCAGTTCAGGGCACTTTTAAGGTTACAGGCCATTTAAAAGGCCATTAGAAGGGTAAAACCATAATCATACTTATTGATTCGGGTGCAACCCACAATTTTATTTCTCAAACGGTCTGCACAACTTTCAATCTTCCTGTCTGTCAGACTTCTAAGTTCCAAGTAGAAATGGGGAATGGAATGAACATTTACAACCAAGGGAAGTGTGAAAAGCTTCCTGTTAGAATTCAAGGCCTATGGATTGAACAAGATTATATCTTGGACTTAGGAGGAACGGATTTAGTGTTGAGCATGGAATGGTTGGCCAGTTTGGGAAAAGTGGAGGCTGATTTCAAACGATTAACTATTCAGTGGGAAGTGGATTGGTCAGAAGAAGCAGATACAAGGTGATTCATCTCTGAGTAAATCCACTGTTTCTTGGAAAGGTTTGATGAAAACATTGCAGGGTAAAGGAGAGGGTTATTTTATCCATTGTGAAGAGTTGACTACTGAAAAACCAGAAATTGGAAAGGAATGGGAAGAGATAATTTCAGAATTTCCTACAGTGTTTCAGGCTCCTCAAGGTTTACCTCCTCATAGAAGCTGTGATCACGCTATCCATATTAAAGAAGGTGCTACCATTCCCAAAATTAGACCCTATCGTTACCCTCAGTACCAAAAAGATGAAATTGAGAAGCTGGTGCATGAAATGCTGAAGGTAGGGATAATCAGACCAAGCAACAGTCCTTACAGCAGTCCCATAATTCTGGCAAGGAAGAAGGATGGAGGATGGAGGTGCTGCGGAGATTATAGGGCTTTGAACAAGATTACCATCCCAGATAAATTCCCAATACCGGTCATCGAGGAGCTTCTAGATGAGCTGGGACATGCAAAAAAATTCTCCAAATTGGATCTGAAGTCAGGCTACCATCAAATCCGCATGAAAGAAGCAGACATTCACAAAACCGCTTTTAGAACCCACGAAGGGCATTATGAATATCTAGTGATGCCCTTCGGATTAACAAATGCTCCATCCACCTTTCAGTGTCTAATGAATCAGGTTTTAAAACCCTACCTCCGGAAATTTGTTTTGGTGTTCTTTGATGACATCTTGGTTTACAGTAGAAGCTCAGAGGAACATAAAGAGCACCTCAGACTACTACTTCACACTCTGGAGGCGAATCAGTTGGTGGCTAATAAAAAAAATGCAGATTTGGGCAGACTCAACTGGTGTATCTTGGTCATATCATTTCCGAACAAGGGGTGCAGGCAGACCCTAGCAAGATCCAAGACATGATTGATTGGCCTCTACCTCATAACTTAAAGGGATTGAGGGGTTTCCTGGGGTTAACAGGATATTATAGGCGATTTGTTAAAGGATATAGCAAAATCGCTAATCCTCTGACGAATATGCTTAAGAAGGATGGATTTCAATGGAGTCCTGAAGACATTTGTTATCGAAAAACTGAAAGTAGCTATGACATCACTACCAGTTTTAGCTACCTCAGATTTTGAGAAGACATTTGTTATCGAAACTAATGCTTCAGGGACCGGAGTTGGGGCAGTCTTGATGCAACAAGGGAGACCCATAGCGTACAAGAGCAAGGTGTTATCTGCCCGAAATCAGAGCATGTCAGTTTACGAAAGAGAACTATTGGCCATAGTGTGGGCCATTCAAAAATGGAGGCCTTATCTTCTGGGACGAAGTTTCGAAGTGCACACGGATCAAAAGAGTTTAAAATTCCTTACCGAACAAAGGTTGCTCGGAGAAGACCAACAGAAATGGATTTGTAAATTGATGGGATATACTTTTGTTATTAAATATAAGAAAGGTTGTAAGAATAAAGCTGATGATGCTTTATCCAGAAAAGGTTGCTTGACATCATAGTTAGTGGTTACTTGTCAAGAGTGGGAGGGTTTAGAAGAAGAATTGTTGAAGGATGTTCAGTGTCCTGGATCTTCTTGCTCAGCCAGAGTCACAGGCAGGATTCAGATTGATAAATGGACTGCTGTACTACAAAGGCAGATTGGTAATTCCAAAAGAATCACCCAGAATCCCAACTCTCTTAAAAGAGTTTCATGACTCCGCTTGTGGGGGTCATTCGGGTTATCTTAGGACCTTTAAAAGATTATCTAATGTTGTGTTCTGGGCTGGTATGAGGTCGGATATCCAACTATATGTGCGTAGTTGTGACATCTGTCAGCGCCATAAATCTCAGAATTTGACTCCAGCCGGGTTGCTTCAACCGCTGCCTATTCCTAGTCAAATCTGGGAGGACATTAGTATGGATTTCATCGGAGGTCTTCCTCGAGCCATGGGTAAAGATTCTATATTAGTGGTGGTTGATCGACTAACCAAGTTTGCACATTTTATTGATCTATCTCACCCCTATACGACTAAAGGAGTTGCAGAAGTTTTCATCCAAGAGGTGGTCCGCCTTCATGGGTTTCCTAAAACCATTGTCTCGGATAGGGACAGTATTTTCCTAAGTGCATTCTTGTCCTCAAGGCGAAAGTCTGGAAATTGCTGCACTAAGAACGCATAGTCTTCCCAAGTCTGTTGCGGTGCATGTATGGGTTGTAACAAACCAGTAGGTGATAATGTGTCATATTTTCTCTCTTGACACACAAAGCATTGTTGAATGAGAGATCTAACAGTACCTGAGAGCCGTTTCAAGGTTTTAAGGAATCCTCCCTGACAGCCCAAAGTCGTTTCGGGGAACGTGATTTTGTTGAGGGCCCGATAGTCCACACACATACGCCATGAATTATCTTGTTTCTTCCCCGTCAGGACTGGACTTGCAAACTGAATGGAGCTGGGACTAATGACCCCATTCTGGAGAAGGTCCTGCATTTGTCGCTCAATTTCATTCAGTTGGAAATATGGGTGCCTGTACAGTCTCAGGCTGGAAGGTTGAGCTCCCGGGATCAGAGGAATGGCATGGAAATGATCTTTGAATGGTTCTGCAAACACAGCTTCAGATTCCAAGGACCCCCTTTCCACATTAAGTGTGTCACGTCCAGGTGTACTAACTGCAGATTCCACTGCGGTCATAAGATTAAACCTTGCAGGCTGACACTCTCTCTTTGATATTCCCTGTAACTTATATTTCTTCCCATTCACCCAGAACATGAGGAACATCTCGTTCCAATTAGATTGGATGGTATTGAGTGATGCAAGCCATTTAATTCCCAGTACCATATCAGAATCCACAAGGGAAAATGGGTAAAAATCTTGGGTGATGGTCAAACCTGGAAGTTGTACTGAAATCTCCTTGCACACACAGTTGCAACGTACGACATGACCGTCACCGAGCTGAACCCCAATTGTCTGAGTAGAGGTGGCCAAGTCAAGTTCTCTTACCAGTGAATCTGATATGAAATTGTGAGTTGAGCCACTATCGACTAATAACAATACTTCTTTGTTAGCCAATAAGCCACGCAGTTTCATTGTTGTTGCTGTCGGACTGCCCAGGATGGTGTTAAAACAAATCTCTGTATCTACTCCTGGTTCCTGTTCTGTGCCTTCGGCTAATTCCAAAGAGTTTGACATTGAATTATTGTCTTCTACAACTTCCAGTAGCGAAAACGTAGTAGAACAGCGATGGCCTGGTCGGAATGGATCCCCACAACGGAAACACAACCCCTTGTCGCGCCGTTGCTGTTTCGTTTCTTCCCATGAGCGTGCTGCAGATGGAAGTAAATTTGTGGCTCTGTTTGGGTTTGTCGAAGAAGAAGGCGTACTAGAGTTTCCCGGTGTCACACACTGGTCACGTGCTGGAATGATGGAATTAATATTGGAGGTGGGCTGACTCTGAAAAGCGTATGAATTGGGCCTGTACCCCTTCATTTGGGCTAGCTTTTTCTCAAATTCTAAGGCTAGACTAGCAGCCCGATAAACTGACCTTGGTTTATGAATTCTGACTTCTGATTTCTTCCCTAAGACCATTCAAGAATACTCCAAGCAAGCAGTGCTCTGGCCAGTTGGTTACTCGTGCAATCCTTCGTGCCCACTCTTGCCGGTATTCCGCTAAAGAACCTGTTTGCTTAATGTTGCACAAGTGCTCATCTGGGTTCAAGTACTCTGGAGGCCCATAATGTTCCTCTAGAGCTTTCACCAATTCTCCCCAGTAAAGCAAAGTCCTTTCTGTATTCATCCACGAGAACAAATCCAGAGCATCTCCTTCCAGATACATTGAAGCTATGTCCACCTTGTCATCCTCTGGTGCTTCGTAATAACGGAAGAACTTCTCCGCCTTAAGAATCCACCCACGCGGGTCACCTCCTTGGAATTTCGGGAATTCAATTTTTGCTTGTGATGGTCGCGGGCGGTGCGAATCAGATTCTTCTTCAGTATCATCGCCCCAATGTCTCATCTTTCCTTTCCCTCGGTTGGATTTGGAGGCTTGAATCTCCAAGGCTGTCACTTTTTCCTTTAACTTGTCTAGTGTCTCCAGTTTTGCTGCAATGGTGGCCAGAGGATCGGCAGAAAATGGATTTTCCTCTGGGTTGCGGGTTTCCGCTGATGAGCGTGTGGTCACCATGGATGGATAAAAACGCTGCTCTGATACCAAATTGATAGAACCCAGAAATCAGAGGCTAAGAATTGAGTGGCTAAACTCTCCTACTTTCTCTCTCACAGTAAGTATCTCACAAATGAGCGATAGTAGAAGCCAAAGGGAGAATCTCCTAGTCTGATATTAATATTGAGTCTGCATACCCAACCTGAATAAGGCTAGGCTATTTATAAAGAAGGAAATACAACTGACCCATAACTGACTCATCCATGATCAAATAACTAACTGACACATTAACCGACTACATCCATGATCTAATAACTGACTAACACATTAACCGACTGCATCCATGATCTAATAACTGCCCTAGTGGACTGATGCATGACACCAAACCCCACTTATTTCTCTAACAGACTCATTTAAACAAATAAACAATAATAAATAAATAAATAAATGAAGACTCAGTCAACAATTGTTCCTCGTTTCTTGTGGCTCTGATATTTCAGCACCCTATCAGATATCCAACGATATGTGCGTAGTTGTGACATCTGTCAGCGCCATAAATCTCAGAATTTGACTCCAGCCGGGTTGCTTCAACTGCTGCCTATTCCTAGTCAAATCTGGGAGGACATTAGTATGGATTTCATCGGAGGTCTTGCTCGAGCCATGGGTAAAGATTCTATATTAGTGGTGGTTGATCGACTAACCAAGTTTGCACATTTTATTGCTCTATCTCACCCCTATATGACTAAAGGAGTTGCAGAAGTTTTCATCCAAGAGGTGGTCCGCCTTCATGGGTTTCCTAAAACCATTGTCTCGGATAGGGACAGTATTTTCCTAAGTGCATTCTGGTCCGAGTTATTCAAAATGGCGGGGACAAAGTTGAAGTACAGTACTGCCTATCACCCCCAAACCGATGGGCAGACTGAAGTGGTGAACCGATGTCTTGAAGGTTATTTGAGATGCATAACTGGGAATAAGCCCAAGCAGTGGCCGAAGTGGTTGTCCTGGGCGGAATATTGGTACAAAACCAATTATCACGCATCCCTAAAGAGCACTCCTTTCAAGGCCCTATATGGACGAGATCCACCTATATTAGTCAAAGGAGATACCAGCTTGACCCCTGTGGACGAAGTGTCCAAATTAACAGCTGAGCGAAATGAAATGTTGCAAGAATTGAAACATAATTTGGCAGTAGCTCAAAACCAGATGAAGCAACAAGCCAACAAGCATAGAAGGGACCTTCATTTTGAAGTAGGAGATAGGGTATTCTTAAAAATACAGCCCTATAAACTAAAAAGTTTGGCTAAACGAATAAATCAGAAGCTGAGTCCTCGGTTTTATGGTCCATTTGAAGTGGTTGAAGTGATTAATCCAGTGGCCTATAAATTGAAGTTACCGGAAGGTTGTGCAGTTCATCCGGTGTTTCATATATCACTTTTGAAAAAGACAGTTAACCCAGATATACCTTGCCAACCACTGCCTTCTTGCATCTCAGAAGAATGGGAGTTACAATCCCAGCCAGAAGAAGTAATCGATTTCAGAGTTTCAGCAGCAGGAACTCGAGAGGTGCTGGTTCACTGGAAAGACATACCACAGTTTGAAGATTCATGGGAAGATTGGGAGTTGCTGAAGAAAAAATTTCCTGAGCTACACCTTGAGGACAAGGTGTTTTTAAAGGGGGGGGGGGGGGGGGGGGTGATGATACGAGCACTACCTTATTTAACATAAATCCCAATAGGGATTTTTCAAAAGTTTATAAAAGGGGGGGCAATAAGGTAAATAATCAGAGAAAGGAAGTGGAGGCAGAAAATAACGGACTAGAGGAAGGGGAATAGTCCGCGGAGGGTGAAGAAACGAATAAAAGCAAACAGAAGCGGAAGGGGAAAGGCACTGGGAAGTTGTTCAGAACTGGGAGAGCGAGATCCTCTCGAAAGATCTCATTTTTATTTTCTGCTATTTTGTTCTTTCATAGTTTTTGTTCCCAGACAATGTTCTTGAGTTTTCTCAATAGACAATAATTTTAAGTTGGAGTGTGTTGTGACAGTTTGTTGGTGAGAGACCTTATCAGGTTTTTACTATTTTGCCCTATTATTTGGATGGCCTCATCTACTGATACCTTATTATGAATATGGATTTGAAGAAAAATAGGCTCAAATCTTATTTTGTAAAAGGATAAATAAGCTGAAAAGCCTTACCCCACCCAGGCACCACAAGCGTGCGCCTATGCACTTCTTGTGCTTCATCTGCGCTTGGACACCCTCGAAGCGCTTGATCTATTTAGTGCCTCACCTTGTGCGCTTAAGCACTCGGTTTTGCGACTTTGTCTACCTTGATTGAAAATGGAATTAGATTGGTATGAAGTGCGGCTATCGTAAGAGTTTGGAATTGGATTAAAGAAAAATAAGCTAAAACGAGACGGTTGGCTCAAGAGGAAAATATTTTACTGGCACTTACCTAAAGAACCTGCATGGACAACATCAATAGACAGTTTTGAAGATATAAAACCACATAGCTTATGTTGCACAATGTACAGTAACTTAACGGTCAAATTTATATATTTGTCAAACACTCCAACGAATTAGAAGATATGAAGGATATGGCCCGCAGTGACATATACTGAAACAGCTAAATCATTGAACCGGTCAATTGCCTTCAGGAACCTGAAAAAATGGTAAAAAAGAGGTGTAGGGAGAACACCAAAATGCCTTATTACAGAGAGGGTTTCAAGAATTGGAATCTAACATTGCACTGGTAGTCCACGCCATATCCTGGACAATGTCTAGTGCAGCATGTAATATGAACTGGTGTTGATGAGCAGCATCCTCTTTCTAATAAGTAAATTTGAAGGAAAATAAGTTAACAAAATAATCGTTTTATGCATGCTTGTCTCAATAAAAATGGACTCTTATTACTGGGAAATATGTTCAAGCTCATAAAGCAGAAGATAGACCAAAAACGCCCTCAACATATCGAATAGAGGGATCCATCCAAAAAATTATAACAAGTCTAATTTGAAGTAAATGGATTAGAGCATGTGTGATGTGTTACCCTCACTTGTTACCAGGAATTACTTTTGTAAGATCAAGATTGATTCTTTTTATACCGTTTCATGCTTTCTTAGAACAAATGCATCCCCTAACTGGCCACCAGACCTCCTTGTTGCCAATCTAAATGATTTGTCTTTAATTATCTCATTTGAAACTCATTAAAAGATAATTATCTATTATATCAATATCTGTTATGTTACTTACCTAGTACTCCCTATATCTTAGCTTCTTACTTTGACATTTTACATATTATGTCCCATTTTAAAGCTGATTTGATCCCTAACCACACTACCTGCTAATTTAGCTTGTGATAGGCTATCTAAGGAATTTGAAGTGTTCTCTTTTCTTTTACAAAATCTGGGGCACTTCGAACCAAAAAAATCACTACATTTTCTCCTACTCGTAGAAGAAAGAAGATTCAGAACATTGCAGGAAAATCCAAAGCACCACAACAAAATATAACCATCTGAAAGTGCCAATTCCAACCCTTCAAATTTTTTATCCTGTATAGAGAAAAAATACGTACTTGCGCAGCTCCAACTTCAGCTTCATAGATGGGAATGTCATTCCTACTCACGATCATAAAACACGAAGTACTCGCCATCCAGATGCAGATCTAGCATAGCAATCCGGTCAGGGACAAAATGTAATAATAACAAATAATTTTGATACTAAATGTGCAAACTTGGTCATTCCACCTAATTACTTTGTCACATTAATTTCACATTAATCAACAATGTAAACATACCTACTCACTTTGTCACATTAATCTTACTCTCACACAAAAATGTGAAAATAACAATCATATTTTTACATTAATACTACATATAATTGTAAAATTAGTCAAATTTTAACAAAAACAGTAATACTTTATACTCTCCACTATAAATTGAATACCTGAATAAAAAAAAAGTGATACTCTGTGGTTGGCAGCATTCTAAATTATTCTAATGACCGGTAAGTTGCTGGTTTTTTCAGGGTTTGAATCCCTTAATGAAAAAACAGGTTGCAGGTTTTAGTCAGCATTCAAAATCGGAACTCAAAAACAAGGTTTACATTACAAGATTCATAGCAGAAAACACCCTAAAATTCTGGATATAAAGCTGAAATAAAAAACTTAACAAAAAAAAAACTGGAACTAAAAGAGCCTTAAATCAGAAGATCAAAGAATTACTGATTGTAGACTTGAGGTATTAGGGCGGCGTAGACCGAACTGCGTGAGTGTGTCATCCACTAGGAGTGACAGAGCTACAGAAGGAAGAGGATGGGCGGTCGGAATTTGGAATTGCGAAAGGTCTGCGACTTGAGATAATTCAGTACAAGCGTCTGTCAAACAAGTTAGGTTATGTTGTAGGAAGTGAGGTGTGTGTTTATTCTAATAGGGAAGCCCTCTTTAAATAGAGGATAGTCGACTGGGTCTCATGGGCTCATTAGCTCAGTACACAATACACTAGTACATATTTTTATCTATAAGGACAGCACAATACAAGTAATTTCCTTTAACACTCCCCCTTGTGCTGAGTTGTAGATAGAATGTTGCATTCCGGGTTGCTTTGTGGAATCTTCGTCAAGTAACAAAAACCCTGTGGGAAAAATAAACCTTGACAAAGGACTAGAGTTTATAGGACTTCGTTCATTGAGTCCTTTTGGATTCTTTACTTTGATCAATACTCACAGTTACCTCGTTAAAAACCTTACCAAGTAACAAAAAACTCAATCGGAGAAAAATAAAGCTTGGTTTAAGGAAAAGAGTATAACGTGAGGGTGTAAGACTCCCCCTGAAGTCTACACCTCCCCCTGATATTTACATTAATCAAGGGATTTCAGAAAGCTTACGCATTCCAATGTTTTTCACATGTTTTTCGAATGTGGCCTTGGGCAATGATTTGGTACACAAGTCTGCTACGTTATCTTCCGAGCTTATTTGATTTACTTGAATCTTGAGGAAGGCTTGTTGTTGTTGATTGTAGAAGAACTTAGGAGATATGTGTTATGTATTGTCACCCTTGATGTATTCTAATTTCATTTGTTGCATACAGGCTGCATTATCCATCTTCGTTGATGCAGGTTGGCTCTTCAGTGGTAGGCTTTAAACCACTAGTTACTCGAATGTGTGTAATGATAGCTCTTAACCATATACACTCACGGACCGCCTCATGTAGAGCAATGATCTCTGAGTGGTTCGAGGAGGTAGCCACAAGGGTTTGCTTAGTTGATCTCTAGGATATCGCCGTGTTCCCGATTGTGAAAACATAGCCAGATTGAGAACGGCCTTTGTGAGGGTCGGAGAGGTACCCAGCATCAGCAAAACCTACCAAGACATCATTTGGGGTTTTCAAGAGGTGACCGTTTTGTCCTTTGTGACCACAAATCCATTTGTGGTTTTCTTCGTCTCTCCGTAGGGAAAGAACAGTCCCAAGTCACTGGTCCCTTTAAGATATCTAAAGATATTTTTGATACCGTTCCAGTGACGTTGCGTAGGCGTAGAGCTAAATCTAGCTAACAAGTTCACTGAGAATGCTATATTGGGCCGAGGGCATTGTGCTAAGTACAATAATGCGCCTATTGCACTTAGGTATGGAATTTCAGCTCCTAATGCCTCCTCGTCATCTTCCTTTGGACGAAATATATCCTTTTTAGGATCTAGACTTCGGCCCACCATGGGAGTGCTAGCAGGGTGCGCTTTATCCATGTTAAATCCCTTGAGTACCTTTTGGATATACGTAGACTCGTGGATTAATACTCCACAAACTCGATGTTCTAATTCAAGACCTAGACAAAATCGAGTTTTCCCAAGGTCTTTCATCTCAAACTCGGATTTCAAATAGCTTGTGGTTTCTCTTATTTCGTCAAGAGTGTCGATTATGTTCATGTCATTGACATATACTGCTATGATTGCAAATCCGGAACTCGTTTTCTTTATGAATACTCAGGAGCAAAGCTCATCGTTCTTGTATCCCTTCCTAATCAAGTAGTCACTTAGGCGGGTATACCACATCCGCCCGGATTGTTTTAATCCGTAAAGTGAGCGTTTCAATTTTATTGCAAATGCACTCCGTGGTTTAGAGTCACTTGATTTAGGTAGTGAAAGTCCGTCAAGTACTTTCATATATATCTCTGAATCAAGATCCCCATAGAGATATGCAGTAACCACATCCATCGATTGCATTTCCGATCCTTCATAAACTGCTAAGTTGACTAGGTATCGGAACGTGATAACGTCCATTACGGGAGAGTGGGTCTCCTCGTAGTCAATCCCAGGGCGTTGTGAGAAACCTTGCGCCCCTAGGCGAGCCTTGTACCTTAAGACTTCATTCTTCTCATTACGCTTTCTGACAAATACCCATTTATGTCCTCCAGGCTTTACATTTGGTGGGGTTAGCACTATCGGACCAAATACCTGTCTTTTTGTCAGGGAGTCTAATTCGACCTGGATTGCTTCTTTCCATTTAGGCCAATCTGCTCTTTGTTGGAATTCTGCCACAGAGCGAGGTTCAATATCATCGTGCTCTATAATTTCTTGAGCGACTGTAAATGCAAAAATATATCATCGATGTGTGTGGAAGATCTTTCCATTAGCACATGTGCATTTTCATAATCCATAGAGATTTCCTTGTTTTCTAGACTCATTTCGACCATCGGAGCGTCCTCCAGTAATAATTCGTGGACATAACTATAATCAGAGATAATCTCATGGGATGGATGTTATTCATCGATGATTAATGGATTAGGTTGTGACGTACTCGTCCTCTTCTTCCTTGGACGAGTATCAATCGAACCAAGTGGCCTTCCTCTCTTCCTATGAGGAGCCACGGCCTCAACCACACCTCCACCAAGTGTGGTCGCAGTGCCTCCTACTATGGCAATGTGCCCTCCCTTGGGGACTTCTAACCTTGCAGGGACATTTGAAGCTGGTATGTGTGATCTTGTCACTTTTGCAATATCAAAAAATGCATCAGGCATCGAGTCTGCTACATTTTGTAAGTTTATTATTCTTTTCACTTTACTTTCACAGTGTAAGGTGCGGGGATCAAAATGAGACAGTGTAGGAACACACCGGTATAATTCACGTCGTTCTTCGGAAAAATGCTTTTTCTTATCTCCCCCTAACGACGGGAATGTTGTCTCACCAAAGTGACAATCCGCAAATGTTGCGGTGAAAAGATCGCTTGTCAAAGGTTCTAGATAGCAGATTATCGTTGGGGATTTGTATCCAACGTAATATACCCAATCATTTGAGGACCCATTTTGGTGCGCTATGGTGGCGCAATTGGCACATAGATTGCAGAACCAAATATGCGTAAGTGTGAAATGTCAGGCTCATATCTAGTTACCAACTGGTACGCAGAAAATGGTTGGTTCACAGTGGGCCTAAAGTGAATAAGTAAGGCTGCATGTAATATTGCATATTAGGGCTGCACAAGAATATCCCGAACCCACATAACCCGCCCGACCCAACCCTACCCGACCCTATTTAATCGGGTATTTGATTTTTAAAAATATTCATGGGTTAAATATGTTTCAACCCGCATCTAATGGGTAGGGTTGCGAAATTAAAATCTCAAACCCGATGGTACCCGACTCGGCCGAAGTTCATTTTACTACTATTATGCTACAACGTTTTCTTGGATAATTTCAATTTAAGACCAATGTGCTCTATCTAGGACTTTATGATATTAGAATTATAATTAAACATTTATCATTTTGACTAGGTGATTATTATATATTTTCTTTTCCTTCTAAATGAACTTCCTTTACGGAAGGATGTTTTAATACTATTACCTAATGTTTTTGCTAATAAAAGATACGAGTACTTGTATTTGTTTGTGTGTTTTGGAAACAAGTTAATCGAGTTCTAAATTGGTTACATTAATTTCCCATGTGAAAGATGCAACCCGGAGTGATTTTTCCCCCAATACCCGACCCTACCCGACCCGTTCATGCATGGTTTACCAACTCTTTTTGCGTATCGCGGGTTGGTTAATAGCCAACCCGAACAAATCAGGTAGGCCCAAAAAATATAGCAAACCCGACCCAACTCGTCCGATGTGCAGCCCTATTGCATATCCCCATGCAGATATAGGCAAGTTGGTGAGCATAACCAATGCCCTAGCTATCAGGCAAGTTGATGTGCATAACCAATGCCCTAGCTATCGTTTGTAATCTTTTAATATTAGCTTCTGCGAGACCATTTTGTGTGTGTACATGGGGAACGGGATGCTCTATGTCGATCCCGATAGACATGCAATAGTCATCAAATGTCTTTGATGTAAACTCTCCAGCGTTATAAACTCTAATGGACTTTATAGGATGATCGGGGTGGTGAGCCCTTAAGCGAATTATTTGTGCTAGGAGTTTTGCAAATGCAGCATTTCTTGTGGACAATAAGGTAACATGCGACCAACGGGTCGATGCGTCCACCAAAACCATAAAGTATCTAAATGGTCCACATTCTAGATGGATCGGTCCACATGTCTCCCTGAATTCTTTGTAAAAATGGGATGTTTTGTTTTGTGTCTTTAGCATAGGATGGTCTCGATCCTGTTTTTGCTAAAGAGCAGGCTTTGCAAAATGAGTTTTGTAGTGTGGACATAGTTAGGGAAGCATGGGCTAGTTCTTCTTGTGCTTTAGAAGATAATTGTCCTTGTGGAGGAGCCGCATGGTCAACAGTTTGTACTTTGTTGACGTTTCACCCTTCTTTATTCCTTTCTCGAAAGAAAGGGTGTCCATGTGAATTCTTGAAAATTCAAATCATCATGTCACGACCGGGGTGACCAAGAGGATCATGCCAAAGCTATATGAGTCTATGTCCAACATTTCATTGTTGGAGACTGCATATGATTCGAAGATTCGAATGGTAGTGACATAGAGTCCACTAGATTGACTTATTAACTTTTCTAGTATACGTTTTCTTCCGCTTTTACTAGATGTAATATATAGGTATTCTATCCCATCCTCACTAAGAGTTTCAACGTGGAAACCATTGTCACATATATCTTTAAAACTTAATGTTGATAAAACGAAGAGACATCATTAATCTAGGATTTATTTTCCTTATTATTACTGTAATTATGTGTCTTTAGTGCTTCAGGTTGTATTTAATAGCTGCTGTCTTTTCAGTTCTCAATCATTTATGTTTAGTATTTAGACAGTCACCTAGGGTGCTGAATTGACTCTCTCAAGATTCCTATCTGTATAAATAGCTTATGTACTTCTTGTAAATGTATTAAAAGGAAATAATATTCAGAAAACTTCATGGTATCAGAGCTTGGTTTCATCTAAGCCTTTTTTGAGCCTATCACCTCTCCAACCAGTGGCGGACCCAGAAAATCGGAGTCACGGGGTCCCTACCTTAATGTTAGTCTAACCAATAAAAAATTTTAAAAA